ATATATATATATATATAACATTATCATAATATGCATGTCGTAGGTATTAGGCCTATATAAAGATAAGAAAGTCAGTACAAATAAGGCTGTTTTGGAAAAATGCGATAATCCAATATCGAATCTGGTGATTTCATGGCGGAAACTGAGTGCAACAAAAACAAAAGTATAGTTATAGAATAAATAAAAATTTATATATTTATCTCAGTATGCATATGATATTTTGTTATATTATAAAGCTAATAATACTCTTTTTTATTAAATTTAGCCAGAGAATATATATATAATTCTGTTATATATTATTAATATATCTACGATAATTTTTGCCATATGAATTTCTCTTGTATTTTAATTTCCACTTTTCCTATTTTCAATGAAGAAATTTTTAAGCTATACGAAAATATAATATGAAACAACTAATGATTATGATTAAAATCATGTTATCTGACAGCATTTTTTTGCCTACACAGATCATCCAGCCGTTATTACATTTGGCCCAAAAAGATTCTCGAGTTCGTGGTAATTGCATTACTTGTACAGTGACAGGAAGAGTCTCGATGCACGAACCAAATTTGCAGAATGTACCAAAGGATTTTAGTTATGCAGATAATAATTTCGTATTAAGTGTAAGAATGGCGTTTGTGCCGGCTTTGGGCAACATAATGCTGTCTGCTGATTATTGTCAACTCGAATTACGCCTCTTGACTCACTTTTCGCAAGATTCAATACTATGTGAAATCATGAGGCAACCAGGTGATATTTTTAAAAGTATCACTGCCAAATGGAATAATGTACCAGAAGAAAAGGTATTTTTTGTGATAACGTGATATAACATATATGAATAATATATTATAATTATATACATAATATCGAAAATCTGCATGTACATACTATTATTATTTATTATGTATATATTTCTGAAATTTTGATGTATTACTTATTTATTATTTACGTTTTCGTCGTCTAAATCTTTAGGTAACGATGGAGATGCGTCAGCGCACCAAACAATTATGCTATGGCATGATTTATGGTATGGGGGTGAAATCATTAGCTGAAAATCTTTGTATAAGCGAAACCGAAGCTCAGGAATTTTTAGAATCTTTTATGAATATGTATCCCGGCATATATAAATGGTTGAACGATGTGCTGGAAAAAGCGCATCGCGTTGCGTATGTAACAACATTACTCGGAAGGCGCAGACAGCTTCCGGATTTAAACAGTACAAAGTCATCTACGAGGGGTGAGTTGATCGTCGCATACTACCATCAAATGTTACATCTTATAAATATTTTAATAACTTATATGTATCGACTAAATTTAGCACAAGCGGAACGACAAGCTGTAAACACAAAAGTACAAGGCTCTGCAGCAGATATAGTCAAAAAAGCTATGATAAATATAGAAGAGAGGATAAGATGCAACTTTCCGGATTCGGCTATTGTATTCCCAGAGATGCATGCCACTCGCAAACTACGAAGCAATAGTCGAGAGATGCAACAAAGAGGCGGTTATTTAGTTTTGCAATTACACGATGAATTGTTATATGAAGTAAGTATTATAATTTAATCTTTTTTTTATCTATCGGTTATTATTTGAATTAATTAAAGTTATTTTAATTTTTTTAGAATATCATATATGTTGTATGCCTATATAAATACAAGATTTAATCTTTTAATGCTATCTTAGGTAAATTTAGCAGATCTGAAAGAGGTTGCTGCAATAATCAGAGAATCAATGGAAAATGTATGCCAACTTACTATACCATTACCAGTAAAAGTCAGAGTTGGGCCTGCATGGGGCGATTTAACCGATTATCAATTTTAGCAGACGGTTCTAATCGCGCGCACATTATTTCATTTTTTTTAAATCGATATTTCTATTTTTATATATTTTTTATAATTAATCATGTTGAAGTATTTATAGATCATGTGAATATTTAGTAGATATATATTTTACATATTCATCTTTTATATTTATGAGAATTGTAAATATTCTAAATTGTTTCTCTTAATTTATATTATTTACACATATTATTTTTACAAAGAATGAAGAATTTGAAATTTATTGAAATCGTAAATAGTTTAGAAAACGAGAGATCTAATATATTCTCTTCTAACTATCCAATTATATTATTACTGTACATTTTATCACATTTTTCTTAATTGATCATTGAAATTATTTCTGAGAAAGAGAAGAGAGATCAGTACCAGTATTTAAAAGTAAAAGTACTTTTTATCTCTTCACATATTTTATATATTTTCAAAAGAAGTTACATATTTTTTTAATTACTTATCTCACAATCCTTATCATTATCATATATTATACATATATTGAAAAATGGAGTTTAGCATGTAATAGAAATTATAAATAGTTTTATATAAAGAATATTTTATAATATATATATCTCTTATGAAATAATATATATATTTCCCTTTCATCCTCATATTTTGTAGAATAGACATAAAAACTATAGATAGTTTTTCAAAGGAATATTTTAAAGTGTTTTTTTAAGTTCTTTAAATAACTTTTTACACTTATAATATATATTAAAAACGATTTAATCTAAAAGATTAAATAAATATTTAAAAGAATGTATATAATCTGATAGAGTAAATTTAATCTATTAAATATAATGATGCATGGTATGAAATATTAGAGCAATCTTCACATTGCTCCAAAATAATATGATGATTATCATTAACAGATGATATGATAATGATATGATTTGTATGGAACGTGCGAAATATGAATTAATATTAAATATGTATGTACGAAAGCAATATCGAGATTGTTTATGAACAATAAATATATTCTTAACAATATAAAATAATTTTTATTAAAATGATGTCATATATATATATATTTGTGCACTAAATTACATCGCAAGGCGGCGCTAACGATTGATGCAGCTTCGTTACCGCCGTTTGCACTATCTGCTGAAAAGTCTCATCCTCTTTGCTAGTCACTTCCAAGTTCAACAAGTCTATATGCGCCTTCTTACCATCCACCGTGACGTAGAGTTTCTCGCCTTTGAATATCTTGGGTACGGAATCCTCGCCAAACATCTCCTGTAGCATCTCTATGAGACATTCCTTGAAGTGCATCCGGTCCATTTTGGTGGGCGCGGGCAGTATCTTCGGCGACTGATCCATTATCTCGGCCTGCAGTATCGCCGTTAGAACGGAATCCGCATACATATCGTTGACTGGCGTCGCTATCCATTCCATCGTGACGATTTTGCCATCGATCGTGACATCAACGTTCTTGAACACCCTCAGCTTCTTGTCGTCTACGACCTCCAGATTACCGGCTATCTGCGTCAGCAGATGCTTCAGCACAGGCAACGACGCGGAGAAGTAGACACTCTGCCTCTGTATAACTTGACTCATACTCATGTCTGTGTACTTGGACAAGTCGCAAGGAGCCAGCATATGATAATTGAAGTTTCTCTTAACCAGCACGCCTGATAACTTTTGTCCTGGTTTAGGAGTCTCCATTGCCAGCGTGCCCATTACCTTGGCGGTCTTCTCACCCCTAAAGTAGAGCTCCACCGCTACCGTATTTCGTGGATTGTGTATCTCCATGGTAGTGTTCGGATCATCTTCGTATTCTCGTTGTAACGCTGCTTTCAATCGGCCCATCTCGTTTTGCTCACCGTGCACCAGCACTACGTGCGGCGGCTTCAAAGTACGTATGAACTCTGATGTTTGTTGATAATCCGTGTGAGCAGAGAACGATATATAATCGACAGACATCTTTAGCGGCAGCTTTTGCCCGGACATAGTCGTGATCTCTTCCGGCTCCGACAGAATAGTCTTGGCCAGTGTACCCTCCACGCAGTAGCCGGCTATTATGACACCGTTCTTCGCGTCTGTACACCAAGACTCGAATAACTCTCTTGACAAACCGCTCTGCATCATGCCGGGTGAGGCCATCACCACGCACGGCCCGATATCCTCGAAATGATCTATCCCCTTCAAATTTGATATATGCTTGAACACGAATGGATTGTTGATGGCTATTTGTCGCCTGATCTTGTCGTTCATGGCGTTTACATATGTTTGGTAAACGGCCATACATTTTTTCGCCAATGAAGACGCATAGTAGATCGGTATTTCATGCAGTTCCGAATGCTGGCTCCAATACTCATCCAAGATGAGAAGGAGTTCCTGTGCCCTTCCCAATGCAAATACAGGTATCAAGCATCGACCGCCACGATTAACAATCTCATGCACAAGATTTGTAAATCTACCCTCTCGATCCTCCCTCTTCTCATGAATGTGAGTGCCGTAAGTGGATTCTGTAATCAGAACGTCTGGATGAATGTTTGGGATTTCGGCAGCCATCAAGTGCCTGTCCTCTTGCCGGCTGAAGTCACCAGTGTACAGGATCTTCACGCCAGCAATCTCAATCATGAACATAGCGGCGCCCAATACGTGTCCAGCGTTGTACGCCCAGAACTTGATCCCAAACACATCTTTCTCCTCGTGGAAGTTGATCGTTTCTATCTTGTCCATACTAGTCTCCAGATCAGATTCCGTGTACAGCATCTGCTCGGTGGCTATGTTGCTCACTTTGATGTAGTCCGACAATAGCCAGCGATAAATGGCCTTGGTGGCGTGCGTCATGAAGCAACGACCCTTGAAGCTTGTCTTTTGGAGAAACCAAGGCAGTGCACCGCAATGGTCCAAATGAAAATGAGAAATTAATAGTAAATCGATCTCATCGGCCTCGACTAGATCGACGAACGGAAGAGCATCCATACCCGATAAACCGGGATGTATGCCACAGTCTAACATAATCTTTTTTCCCTTAAATTCTAACATGATACACGACCTGCCGACCTCCTGGCCCGCGCCAAGCGGGCGGATCGATAACAAGTCACTCTCCTCGGCTGGCACTTGCGTATCGTTCTTCCTTTTCGCCGACATTTTATCGAGACAAAGTCAATTTTTCTCAGAATTATCTTCACAGAGGAATTTCTTAAAATAATTAAGCGGCAATTATTTTGAGGTTACACATTATACAACTATACACAACATTCTCGTATCTTTTCATTGATCAATCAGAATAAAAAAAGCAAAGTGCGTTCATTGGACGAGAACTAGAAAGATTAAATGATTTCAGGGATTTCTGTTATTCAAGTTTCCTTCATGCTGTCATACTAGGGATTTTTTGTCGTTTAAATTTGAATAAATAATATATTCAAATGGACGGAAATTTAAAAAGGATAATAAAATAATAAAAATGCTCGGAAATTCTTCGGAATAGCAAGTAATACTATTATTTAATTAATAATGTAAATTTAGTCTGCTAAATAATTTTTTATACTTACTTTTACCAATATTTCTTCGTTACACAAACGATGATTTTTTTTCAAATACATCCAATTCGAAAAAAATTAATGATTCACAAGAAATTTATAGATATTTATCTACAAAATAAAATTTTTAGTTTTCAAAGTTAAAAAATTGTTAAAGATATTTCATTATCCACAATTAATATTACTTACTATTTCCTTAAAAAATGTCTAAATTACAAGAATATATTAATGAATGTAAAGATGTTATATATAAACTCAATTTGTATTCATCAATTTTCAGGTTTCATAAATTATAACGCAAATTGAATCTTACTTTGCATATAAAAATGTGATCGATTAATTTGAGAAAAAGTTTCAAGTTTTGCATTTTTAATTGTTTTTCCCTTTTCATCTCCAAATTTTTAGTGCTCTATATAATAAAATAATTTTTAAATGTATTTCCTTAAAATAGGATTTTCGTGTGCTTTTTCTTTTTCAATAATATATATGGCATCGATTATATTTAACATTACAAATACGGGGTAATGGTGTACAAACAAAAATTAAAAAAGGGGGACTTATTTAAAAACGTACCTCAATACATAAATTTTATTAAGGTATACATATGTTGATTTATTATTTTTTTTTCTTTTAATGATAATATTACCCTATCTTTTTTTTTATCTGCTTATAGCGTAGATCGAGTTTCGTATGATACTCAATTGCCAAATCTCAATTCATTGGCTCTATTATAAAATAGAACTGATGTACATATTTACATTATTTACAATGACATTCATTACGAATATGTATAATATGAATCGTTTAACTAAACAATTGCACATTTGGACGTCGATGTTGATTACAGGTGGGCTTCTCAAGCTACCTGGAAATTCCATCACGTATCAATTTTTTTTTAAACGAGCTATTTATTGGTATGATTGAGGAGACTATGAGCTTGCATTTGCTACTTATAATGATACATTAATTTTATAAATAGCAGATATATACGATGAATCATATTTAACTAATTTGACAAATAAATGAAAAAGTTTATCAGTGAAATTATCAATACATTTCAATATCTTGTTTATATTTTATTACAAAAAATAATTTAACCCTTTGTGCTTGAATATTGCCTGCAATAGGAATACTATATGTGCAACGATTACAATATTATAAAAGACACGCCACACTGAGTGCTGCAAATGTGATATTTTAGGGATAGATCTTTTTGTGTGTATATGTGTGCAAAATATGAGATAGAGATTTTCATTCAGTAAAAATTTCAAGAGCTTCATTATAACTTTCAAATTTCAACATGCGTCAAATTAGAATTATTATTAAACTAGTAGTCTATTCTTTTTAATGTTTAACAAATAATTAATTACATCCATAAAAAATTTAAATCCTCAAAAATTTCCTTCTTCTCTTCTGTTATTCAAATTGTAAAACGTCAGTTATAACATGAAAATTTTTGTTATAAAAGAAAGTGATAAACATCAAAATTCTTTCGAAAAAAATCTCTCCCTGAAATATTCACACTATTGAAACGCCCTATAGTATTACATATTATTGCAAAGAATTTAATTTAATCTCAGATATTCTAATTTTCTGTCATTTACCCCTATCAAATATGCAATTATAATTGCAAAACGTCACATTTATAAGTTACAAACTTCTCCATATAAAGTTATACATATATACACAATGTTAAATCTCGTCCTATATTAAATATGATGCACAATTCCATTATGAAACCTCGTGGTGAAAATTGAATTCGTTTATTATCAATTACACTTACTTTCATTTTAACTTCCACACTGCACTCGCGAATAGATATTGTAACGATATTCTATAATATATCTATTTTAATGATTTGTGAGTATTCACATTAGACAACACCCTTTTCTTCTTATACCACATTCATATTCGCACTTTTTTTCAGTATGATTGTTTTTATCTGCGCATAGTTTATATCTTCTAAAACTAGCTAAATATCTTCTGTCAAAATTTAATATGTTTTATAACACTTTTTGTATTTTCTTCGATTATCTTTCTTATATTAATTGCCAACAAGTTGTAATTTTAGCTGAGCAATGAATTTTACGATTTCATAGATTTTAGGAATAACATAAAATACTTGCAAATTTTTGCTATACAAAATATCTGATAATGTTGAATGACAAGCACATCGAGTACAAAGGGTTAATATATAATTTAAAACAAATTCTATCATAGTGTATATAACATGCTTTAATTTTTGCACACCACATTAAAATTTTCAGATTGTTATCAAGATATCTATGAACGTAGAGTTATAAGTTTGCATTTTTCTTATACTTTATTAGTCACTCGTCATTGGTCGCCTCTTTTAAAATTAATAATTGGAACTCGTTTTAAAACATAATTTGATTAATATGAAATTAACTAATCGATTATATATATATATA